CTGCGAGGGAAGCACAGGGAGAGAGTTCGCGGAGAAAAGGTGCCCCAAATAGCGGCATCCACACCCTGACTCCGGGGCAGGTCCAAGCCCGCCCCCTTCCCACAGCCCACCACTGGCTGTGTTCGCCCATGACGCAAAGGGAACCCCGCAAGTGATGGGGATTCTGAGGCCTGTGCAAGCCTGGAGGATCTCTTCTCCCTTCAGACTCCTGGGAGGAGGCCGCCGTACCAAGCTCACCCTCTACCGCCTAAGATTCTCACAGATGTTAGAACCGTGCTACCTTTGCTCCTGTTCGCTTCTAACCCGAGTACGTCACGGGGAGCGTGCCAGGCTCTGCCGTGCGGGCGAGATCCTCTCGGTAGCTCGCCGGGCTCTCCGAGAGGGGCGGAGGAATCGAACTCGGGTCGCCCATGTTGGCTGCGTGCAAGGCAAACGCCCTACCGCTGTGCTATCGCTCCAGCCCGTGACGTACTCGATATGCCAAACACAGTAACAACAAAGTCTTCAAGGGAGACGTTACTGGGCCCGCTCGAGCAAATCGATGAACAACGGGAGGACCGTGATACCGTGATACCGTTTCTAACCCAGACCGGCTGTTCTGAAGTCACACACACACACACACACACACACACACACACACACACACACACATACACCTTGGTAAACAAACCCATGTGTGGAGGCAGATAACAGAAGTGGATTTTTGTGGAAAAAGAAATCCAGCGGGCAGGAAGTTCTACCACATCCCGCTGTGACACTGAGCTCGCGCTGCATGCAGAGGGCACAACAGCTTGGGACAGGACCAATACAAGTCACGTGACATGAGACGGCCAGAAAGGGGGGGACGTCCCCCGCTTCTCCCCACCACCCGACATAGTTAGACCATGGCTCGTCCCAAGTAACACCCATTTGGCCTCCCTTGCTCCCTAGCTCTTCGTTCTGCTCCTCTGGCTCACGCCGGACCACCCCCAGCTTCTCCTCCAAACACTCACTGTGCCCTCGTCCCCAGAGAGGCCTGTCTTGGCCCCGCAGAAGGGCAAGAAGCTAATCTGATCTCTCCAAGATTCTGACGTTGCTGTCAACTTAAAAATCAACACTGGCTTCCAAGTGATGGTACAGCGGGGAGGGCACTTGCCATGCACACGATCAGGCTGGGTTTGATCCCCAGCATCCCATACAGTCCCCTGAGCCCACTAGGAGTGACCCCTGAATGCAGAGCCATGAGTAAGCCCTGAGCACCACCAGGTGTGACCCCAAAACAAAACATTATCCATCAACACTGACGAAAGCAGCCCTGGGAGGTCCAACTCTGGCTGAAACCTCTCCCGTCCCCACATCTGGCTTCCGGGGGTTAAGCTGTGGTCCATGGGATCAACTCAGCCACACAGTTTGGAGTGGAATCACAGTTTGGAGTGGCCCGTGGAATCAACCCAGACACACAGTTTGGAGTTCCTTCCATTTTGAAGGGAACTACCAGAAATTAAGGTGGGCATCCTAGGACTTTGGAGTGGATTTTGAATTGGGGAGACTAGCCCTGGCGCTACAAGTAGGCAGGGGAAATGGTACATAGTGACACATCCAGGCAAGGTCAAGACGGTCATTTACTAATGAGTCCAATGACCAAAGACCTCTAGGGTGATTCCAACATGAAAAGCGGGGTCTGCAGAGGGACACTTGACTAGCACAGGAGGGCGTCTTTTCTCTCTCTTCAGGGTCCCAAGGGGCCACTGGGGGAAAGATGAAATACATGTGATCGGGGCCAGAACAATAGCACAATGGGGAGGGCATTTGCCTGGCATGCAGCCGACCTGGGTTAGATTCCCAGCATCCAATATGATCCCCTTATTACCGCAAGGAGTAATTCCTGAGTGCAAAGCCAGGAGTAACCCCTAAGCATCTCTGTGTGTGACCCAAAAGGCAAAAAAAAAAACAAAGAAGAAGAAGAAACACACGTGATTGTTTTTTTCTGACCACAATCTTGGGGACTTGGCAGTGAAGTGGGGAGCGAGTGAGGAGTAGAGGTGTGAGAGGTCTGAGCAGAGTGGAGCAGGGAGGAACAGGGTGTTGCAGAATTAAGGGCATTTCTGGGCTTGTTCAACTGATCATTTTCATGGACACGTTCATGCAAAAAACAGGGCCAATACCCCAGGAATTCTCCAAAGGGAGCTATATTGGATTCAGACTTTGCATCCAGAATAGGACATCACCAGGAACCCAAACAAGGGTGGAGTGAAACTCAAGGCTATGTGGCAGAAAGTGCTGGAAACTGTCGCCTGAGGGCCAGGAGGGAACTCAGTGTGAGAACTCTTGCCTCACAAGAGCCAGGCCCTGGGTTTGATTCTAGGCGTCACACAAAAAATTACTAAAACGCTGCATGGTCTCTTGACTCTTGATCCTACACCCCATCCGCAAGATGCTTTATTCCATTGTTGAATGTTTAGCTGACTGTGGTTGACCTGCCTGTCAGTTGTTCTAGATAATGCATCTTGGTTGCTCTACTTTTCTGCTATGGTAGAATAAAGATGCATTAAAGACAGGGAAAGTGAGGCATCATTGCAGGGAAATGACACGTTTCCTGGCTGCCATCTGCAGGGAAATTTGGTGATGGTCTCCCATCAACCAGAAGCTCAAGCTTCTTTGGGTGCTCCATGGGCACAGGTGGAGATGAGATGTTTGGGTGATAACACGTCCTCCTCCTCCTCCCTCAGTCAGGCTCAGCAAAATTAAAGCATCCTTCTTCATGAGGCTTTCGGCCACTGCCACGATCCACAGAGGAAGAAGCTGACTGGAGAAGGATCGTGTCCCCTGAATCTGGGACTGAGGAAGGAGGTTGAATAGGAGGCACTAGGGCAGGCTGCCTGGCCAAGGGGCCCCCAGGAAGTCGGGGGACCATGGGAGGTTGGGCTAGGAAGGCAGACCCGAAGTGCTGGGAGCTGCCTGCATCGGCTGCCACATCCTTGCTGTCCTCTGCATCCTGTCCTCGGGCGCTGAGTCCCTTTCTACTCATCCTCCCAGAAATTACACTAACTCCAGGGATCCAACTTCTTCCTTCCTTCCTTCCTTCCTTCCTTCCTTCCTTCCTTCCTTCCTTCCTTTTCCTTGTTTTTTAAAAAAATTTTATGAGGTAGTTCACAATATTTGATTACAATTAATATTCGAACACCAATCCCACCATCATTACACCTTCCCACCACTGAATTTCAGACGTTTCTATCCCAAACCTTAATCCCTGTCCCAAAACGAACCAAAATAATGTATTTTGTATTGTTTGTTATGAAAAACTACTGAATATGCTACAAAAAGAGTATCCTTAAAAGAAAGAGTGTGAAGATTGTTCTATTTCAACCGGGGCCATTAAGACCTTCTATAAGAGATCACTAACATGTTGTTAAAGGCTGAGCCTTATGTATATACATCTGTAAAAAAGAAAATATATATATATATATATATATATATATTTGCTTCCCTCTAAGATTGGTTGCCTGCTACTGTGAACCTCATCAAATGTGGTGCAGTACCCTTGGAGTATGGGTGGGGTGTGTCCTATGAAGTGTCCAGAAATAGGTTCACTCATGGGCAAGGCTCAGTCCGAGCGTGAGGAGAGCTGCCGTGAGCGTGGCAGCAGTTGGGTTCTGGAGGTTTTTGGCTGCCGGGGCTGGGTCCCTTGGGGCGGGGAGGGTTCTCACCTAACCCCCTCTGGGGCACCCCAGTGAATCCGCCTGGCATGGGGTCCAGCGGCATGGTTATGGCGAGCGGCATGTTCTGCTCCCTTCCAGGAGAGAAGGACATGCGATCTGGATGGTGGCCGATGATAGACTGTCTGGTGCCAGACAGAGAGGGGATCCTACTTCGACCAAATCCCTACACCCTGAGTCGGCTTCAGAGAGTCATGCCGAGTTCCCTCCCACAGAGCCAGCAGCCTGCCTGACCTCCACTCGCCTCGCTGAGGGGTTGCCAAAAGCTGACATAGGCAATCCTACTCCCATTCTGTCCCTAACGCCATCCTATCTTGGGGGTCTCGGAGCAGGTGCGAGGGTCTCCCAGGAGTGGCCCCTGAGTACAGAGCCAGAGTCAGCCCTCAGCACCGCCAGCGGTGGCCCAAGACAAAAGAACAGAAGCCAAAACCATCCTGCTTTTCCTGCCCACGGCCTCTCCCCTCTACCTAGGGCTGTTAGCCTCTCCAGCTCATCCTCTTCTCCCCACGCCCCCTGCAGGCTCCTCCTCTCACTCATCTCCCTCCTCTGAAAAGGTTCTTTCCTACTTCCCTCATCTCCACCAGTAACTGTCCAAACTCTTCGCCCAGCCATGGTGGGACGATGGCTTCTGGGACAAGGGCCACAGCACAGGTCTGGCGCAGAGACCTCAGTTCAACCCCTGGTCCCATGTGGTCCTTGACATGTCTAGGTCCTAGTGACCCCCAAATCACCAGGCTAGAGCATCACGGGGCCAGGTCTCAGCAGCAGCACCTAGATCTATGAGAGTATCCAACCATGAGATGCTTGGGAGAACCAGAGTCTCTTTGGGGGGCTTGGGAGACCCCCACCCCAAAAACAAATAGAGAAAGATCCCTTCTGAGAAAAGATCTCTGTGGGGAGGAAATACCAGAATAAATGTGATCGCAGACAATGCTATTGTTCTAGAGAACTGTAGCACTGTCCTCCCGTTGTTCACTGATTTGCTCCAGTGGGCCCAGTAATGTCTCCATTGTGAGACTTGTTGTTACTGTTTTTAGCATATCAAAGACCCCACAGATAGCTTTCCAGGCTTTGTGTGAGGGCAAGATACTGTCAGTAGCTCGCCGGGCTCTCTGAGAGGGGCGAAGGAATCGAACTCGGGTCGGCCGGGTTGGCCATATGCAAGGCAAACGCCCTACCCACTGTGCTATCCCTCCAGCCCTCTAGAGAACTAGATGGAGAAAATCTCCATGACCAGGACAAGAGGAGAAAGCAGGAAAATAATGAGGGGAAAACAGGACAAAGAGTACTGCTTCAGGGTACAACATGGTCTCCGACTTCAAGGTGGAAGGGGTGGCCCTTACCAGGTAAATGGATAAAGGAATCGTGGCACGAGGCTATGATTCAGCCTGGGTAAGAAGAGAAACTGTCACTTCAGTGGCAAAGTGGAGATGATCCTGCAGAGAACACGTGCCCCGTGCCTGCCGCAAATGCCGCACCGCTGTGCTTACATGTGGGACCTGCGGGGTCACTATGGTCACAGCTATGGTGGCAGCCTGCACGAGGTAGGGAATGCTACTCTGGGGTAGGTCTTGGTGGGATGGAGTGAACAGACTCCAGAGTCCCCCCGACAGCCGTGCCTGAATCAGAGCTGCAATGCACACTCCAAATACAGGAAGGGGGGCCGGAGCGATAGTACAGCAGGTAGGGTGTTTGCACCTGGGTTTGATCCCCAGCATCCCATGTGGTCCCCTGAGTACCACAGGGCGTAATTCCTGAGTGCGGAGCCAGGAGTAAGCCCTGAGCATCTCCGGGTGTGACCCCAAAATTTAAAAAGATAGATTAAGGGTAGGGCCAGAGCCAGAGTGCCACAGGAAGGGAGCTTACCTCGGATGCAGCTGACCCAGGTTCAAAACCCGGCACCCCCCAAGAACAAAAAATTGTAAATCTACAACTGTACCTCATGGTGTTTCACTAATTAAAAAAAAGGGAAAAAAAACCCGGCACCCTATATGGTTCCCAGCGCTCCCCAGGAGTGATCTCTGGGTACAGAGCCAGAGTCAGCCCTCAGCACCACCAGCTATGGCCCAAAGACAAAAGACAAAAGACATTAACAGGGTCGATTTCCTGTTACATGTGCTCACGTTGGAAAATCCTCATAACCAACCTGTTTCCAGTCTATTTGAGTGTTATCAGTATGCTATGGGGTCATGGGTGTATGGATATTATCAAGTCCCTAAAATGCAGATATTAAGGACAAGTCAATTTTTTTTCTTTATTGCAACAAAATCTGTTTGAATGAGCACAGGGGTCAGGGAGATGGCTCAGCTGGGAGGGCCACATGCCAGGCTTCTGTGAGGGACCCAAGTTTGAATCTCAACACTCCACGGTCCCCTAGCACTTGATGTGGTCCCTGGAGCCCAGCACTCCTGGATCTGAGCATTTGATACCCTGGCTCAGCTCTGACATCCAGGCTGGTTGTTGGAAGTGGCCCTGCACCCCTAGAACACTGTTTGTGGGGTCAAATAAGTAATTTTAAAAAATCAAGGGCAAGAGTGATAGAGAGGAGAGGACAGTGGTTAGGGTGCTTGCCTTGCACATGGCTGACCCAGCTTCAATTCCCGGCGTCCCATGTGGTCCCCTGAGCACAGTCAGGAGAGAGTCAGGAGTAAAGAGTCAGGAGTAAACCCTGAGCACCACTGGGTGTAACCCCCCCAAAAACAAAAAACATACATAAATAGTGAGATTTGAGTCACAGCCGGCCATGCTCGGGGCTACTCCCAGCTTGGTGCTCAGGGGACCATACAGACATCAAATGTAGGCCTCCAGCTCGCAAAACACACTCTCGGCCCTTTGGAACACCTCCCCATCTGAATAGAAGAAAAGTATCACTGAGTTCTAGAAAGGAGCTTCCAAGTGCCTGACCACTATCCACCCTCATGAATGATCTCATTCTTCATATGGTGTATTTAGAGACAAAACAGAAATACGTCAACGTTTCTAATGGGAAACGTTTTTTTTAATTCATTTTTTATTGAATCACCAAGGCTGGAGCGATAGCACCGCGGGTAAGGCGTTTGCCTTGCAAGCAGACAATATGGCCGACCCGAGTTCGATTCCTCCGCCCCTCTCGGAGAGCCCGGCAAGCTACCGAGAATATCTCACCCGCACGGCAGAGCCTGGCAAGCTCCCCGTGACGTATTCGATATGCCAGACACAGTAACAACAAAGTCTCCAATGGAGACGTTACTGGGCCCGCTCGAGCAAATCGACGATCAACGGGAGGGCCTTTACCTTTTTTACCTTTACCACCATGAGATACAGTTACAAAGCTTTCACAACTGAGTTTCAGTCATACATTATCAAACGCCATTCCTCCACCAGTGAACATTTTCCAGCACCAATGTCCCCAGTGTCCTCCTACCCCCACCCCACTCCACCTCCTGCCTCTGTGGCAGACAATTTCCTTCTTACTCTCTCTAGCTCTACTTCTGAACATTAAGTAAAGTAAGTAAGTAAAGGCCCTCCCGTTGTTCATCGATTTGCTCGAGCGGGCCCAGTAACGTCTCCATTGGAGACTTTGTTGTTACTGTGTTTGGCATGTCGAATACGTCTTCCCATTATATAAGGGCTGGAGCGATAGCACAGCAGTAGGGCGTTTGCCTTGCACGCAGCCAACATGGCCGACCCGAGTTCGATTCCTCCGCCCCTCTCGGAGAGCCCGGCAAGCTACCGAGAGTATCTCGCCCGCACGGCAGAGCCTGGCAAGCTCCCCGTGACGTATTCGATATGCCAGACACAGTAACAACAAAGTCTCCAATGGAGACATTACTGGGCCCGCTCGAGCAAATCAAACTTCTGAACATTATGGTTTGCAAATACAGATACAGAGAGACCATCATGTTTGGTCCTTTATCTACTTTCAGCACACATGTCCCGTTCTGAGCAATCCCTTCAACATCATTGACTTAGTGATCCCTTCTCTATCCCAGCTGCCTTCTCCCCCAGCTCATGAGGCAGGCTTCCAACCATGGAACAGTCCTCCTTGCCCTGGTCTCTATTGTCCTCGGGTTTTAGTCTCATCTTATGGGGAAACTGTTTTAAATGCAGAGTCAGTGTCTCAGCCAGCTGGACTTAATGTGACAAGATGAAACAAAACTGGTTTTCAGATGTGCAAAGAAAAAGATTCACACCTCTCTAAATGAAGTGTCTGGGATGAGTGCTGAGCCAGTATTTCCAGGGTCTGTGACAGCTCTAAACAGTCAGGTCTGGTCCAAGCAAAATTCCAAAGCTCTTTCTACCACGTGGCAAGCAAAATGATGAAGAGAATTCTCTGCTACAGCTAAAGAAGTTGGAGTACCTTTTATAGAGGACCACGTTGCAGAAACGTTCTCTCTCTAGAGTAGGCTAGACTTCGCTTCTTTGAAGCACGTGACGCATTTCAGAGCCACAAGAGACAGCCTCGGTTTCCCCACTCTTCGTTCAATACTACACTCAGTCTTCAGGTGATATTGACATACTCTTCCTGTTGCTTTAAACTTCTGCCCAAATCATGGCCACACAGGTTCTGCAAATGCTCCCAGGCCTCTGATGTGGGATTGCTTCCTGGGTGCTTACAGGTGAAGGGTCCCAGCCCTAGACGGAATTTCCAAGCTATAATTCCAGCACAGAGGTTACAGGGCTGTGATAAAGTGGGGACTCCTGGGTTCAGAAAGATAATACAAGATAATGCATGCCCTCCGGTTCAATCTCTGACACTACATATGGTTCTTTGAGCCTCCAGGAGTAACCCCTGGCACCAAGCCAGGAGTAAACCCTGAGCACATCTGGATGTGACACCAAAAAAAAATTTTTAATGGGAAATTGGAATCAGTGAGAGAGTACAGCAGGTAAGGCACTTCCCCTGCACACAATCAGTCAGGATTTGATCCCCAGCACCATATACGTCCCAGGAGTAAATTTTGAGCATCACCAGGTGGGGCCCACAAAACAAAAAAATAGTGGCTACCCAGCAATGGCAAAATAACATCTGGCAACTGTCCTTGAATACAAAGGAGCATCACAGGAGAGCAATCAAGTCTCAAGCGAAAGGTTTCAAGGAGGGTCTGCGTTGATTCTTTCTTCAGCTTTGCAGACATTACAGGACAGGACAGTTGGAGAGCACCTAGCCCATGGGCTGGAAAGACAAAGGCCACGATTAGTGTGCAGTGTCCAGTGCCCGGCTTTGCTTTACTGCTGGCTGTGACATGGTCACCGGAAGGGGACTTAACCTCCATCATACCATAGCAGAAGCCTTTGGGGACCTGCTGCCATTTCCATTTCACTCTGACTGTGCGGGGGCTTTTTCAGCCTGATTTCATAGAAGCATTTCCTGAGTCTTTTTATTTTCCTTTTCCAGAATGCCAGCTTTGCTCTGTCCTGGTTAGACGACTTATTCCCACCAATTTTCATATACTCTTACTAGCTGTCGTCCCCCGGTGTGGAATTATAATCTTCCCAACCCTGAAAAGGCCTCTTTCCCCTGCAAAACAAATCATAAACTCTCTCACACAGAAGTAGGACCTGTTGGAAATTCACGATTAGACACATGGATCTCTGCAGTCGGGCAAATAATGCCCCCCCCAAAAATGGTCCAACTCGTAACCCCCAGAAACTGTGAATAAGCTTCCATCTGTGCTAGAACAACTGTAATGCAACTGCTTAGCAGTGGTCACTAGAAAGCGGGAAGGGCAAGAACACAGCCCCCACAAGGGCCAGCTTTGCCCAGCAAAACAAATTCCATACTTCTTTTTGTTGTTGCTGCTGTTCGTTTTATTTTGTTTTGGGACCACACCCAGCAGTGCTCAGGGCTTATTCCTGGCTCTACGCTCAGGGACCAAGAGTGTCTCACGGCCCCTCTTGGGTGTGCTCTGGGGATTATATAGGCTGCCAGGGATCAAACGCAGATTGGGTTGGCCAAAGGCAAGTCAAAGGCTTTACCTATTGTACTATGACTCTTGTCCCCCAAATTCCATACTCTGGCCACCTACCCACCCCCACCATACAAGGGGAAAAATGTGTTCTAAGACATATCAGCTTACAATTTTTTGCTATTGTTGTTTTGGGGTCATGCCTGACATGCTCACATACGTGAACTATAAACACAATGAATTAGCTACACAAAATAACTCTTAGACTCTATGAAAAAAAATATATGTCGTGCAACACCCAATAAGAGAGAGAGAACAAAAGAGAATGCCCTGCCATAGAGGCAGGGTGGGATTGGGGGGTGGGGGGTGGGAGGGATACTGGGATCCGTAGTGGTGGGAAATGGGCACCAGTGGAGGGATGGGTATTTGATCATTGTATAATTGAAACCCAAGCACAAAAATGTGTAAGTCTGCAACTGTACCTCATGATGTCTCACTATTAAAAAGATTTTTAATAAATATATATATATATATGTGGTGACTTCCAGAAGGAAGGGGGGGGGTGGGGGAGGGAAGTAGTAGGTAGGGAGGTCTTTGGGGGCTTGGGGGACCTTTTGGATGGTGGGTGTAGCCAAAGATCTCACACACAGAGGCCT